CGCCCCCCCACCCCCCGCCTCGCTATCTCCGACCCTCCTCAGGTTCTCTTCTCTCCCTCTCATTCTTCGTTTCCCTCCTCCTCGCTTTCTCCAGGCCTACCTGAGTCACTTTTTTAAAGTACCTTTTTTTCTTTTTTTAATTTCCAGTTAATGGGAAGGTTTCAAAAGGAGTCAGAGGAACCCCCTCCTGCCGTTTACCTAAATTCGCCAATTGTCTCCTTTTGCCCCATTTGCTGGCCTTTACCCTCAGTAGTAGGGGCCCTCTCTCCCTGACCAGGCCACCTGGAGGTCTGTCCCGGCCACCCACTGAGGGCCCTGCAATTCCAGGGATGGGAAGTTGACTTTGACGTTAAAGAAGTTAAAGAACAGCAAAACCCTCCTCAGGAGGGAACAGATGACTTCGAGTACCTTCTTAGACCTCGAAACCCTGGGCCGCTGACTTTGCCGCTATTCACACTTGAAGTGAGTTTATCAGCTTTTCTCCAGTCAGACTCGTAGCTGAAAGCAGATCCTCGTGCAAAGAAGAGTTGATCCTCAGAGATAGGTCCAGGGCGAGGGTGTCGCCCGTCAGGGACCACCTGAATTGGATTCTGCAGTTTGGGAACTTGGCGCTCACCAAGGGAAAGCTAGAATGAAAAAAGTAGAGAACAGGGAGAGAAAAGAGAAAGAAGTTCTCCAAGGAAAGAACAAACCAAGACCTAAACAAAACAAAACCTACACGTTCTGGCTTCCCACTTCCTATCTTTGCAGTAAAGGTTTCCCTGAGCGACTACTAAACAAAATTCACGTAAGTGATAGTCCTTGGTGCAAGAAGTCGGCCACCAGGGGACGTAGACTGTCGGAGAAACATAGGCTTAAATTCAGCCTGTAACGACAAAATTACTCAGGCTTTGTCAGCGCTGTTCTAGTTCTGTTGCTTCTACAACCAGCTGTGTGGCTTCCAGAGTCCAGTGTAGACGACTGGGAGGCTGTCTGCACCTGGGACGTTGAACAGTCTCAGAGTCCAGGCTCATGGGCTGGTGGGCTCAGCCTGAAACCGCACCCCTCGGTTGGGACTCGAACCCACAGTCTTCCAACTGAAACCACGCAACATGTCTCAGGAATTAATGAAGCTCAGGTTCTTCATGTCTCGGCACAGAAGGAATTCAGTGAGAGGCAAAGTGATAGGTAAGAAATAAATTTATTAATAACCTTTGTAAAGAGGTTGCAGGAAAATAGGGTACAAGAGGATGGTCATGCCCCATGTCTCAGATGAGTCCCTGGAACAGGCCGTCAAGTGAGGTCCTTGGCTTCAGGCAGGAAAGAATTCAAGAGCAGAGCCACGGTAAAGTGAAATCAGAGATACACATTCTATAGACAGAATGTGGTCCTTCTCAGAAGGCGAGAGCGACCCCAAAGAAATATGGGATAGTTAGTCCATAGGCTAATGAGTAGGAGGATTATTCTAACTATTTGGGAGGGAGGGGTAGAGATTTCTAGGAACTGGATCACCACCCACTTTTTGGCCTTTTATGGTTGGCCTCAGAACCATCGTGGTGCCTGTGGGTGTGTCATTTAGCATGTTAATATATTACGAGTGTATAATGAGGCTCAAGGTCTACTGGAAGTTGAATCTTGCCACCATCTTGGGCCTAATGGGTTCGAACCACTTTATGTCATATCGTCAATAGCTATGTCATTCTTTTAAAGGTTGTGCCCTGCCCTCTTACCTCCTGTCTCCAACATGCCTGTAGACTTGTTTTCTTTTTTTTTTTTTGGCGGTACGCGGGCCTCTCACTGTTGTGGCCTCTCCCGTTGCAGAGCACAGGCTCTGGACGCGCAGGCTCAGTGGCCATGGCTCACGGGCCCAGCCGCTCCGTGGCATGTGGGATCTTCCCAGACCGGGGCACGAACCCGTGTCCCCTGCATCGCCAGGCAGACTCTCAACCACTGCGCCACCAGGGAAGCCCATCTTTTAATTTTTAAAAATTAGTTGCTAACCTTAAAATATTAGATTTCTTATAAAAATCTAGATGTTCAACTTTGGGGGGAAAGAAAGATTCATTCTTTCCATCAACACTGGACCTTTATTCCCCACGTATTAGCAAAAGACAGTTATTAGATACGTTAGATGCAGTCCTTACTGCATCTGCAACCAGATGCACACATTGCTTCCTGCCAGGTCTCTGCGAGCATTTGAGTGTGGGCCTCTGCCCTACTCCTCTGCTCCCTGGGAACACTCCTCCCCAGAAGGCTGACCTTCATCTTCTGCACTTAGCCTACTCTCATACCTCCCAGGGACTCTTTGGTACCTTGACCTGCCTCTCCCAAATCATGAGAAAATATTTTGGGAAGCCAGGTTGAAGCCATCAGTTGATATAGAATGTATGGAAACTGAGTGATGAGAAAAGGAAGTGAATATGGTCATAGACAGTTAAACAAATTTTACTTCATCAACATAGACGAAAAGGAGTTGATAAAAGACTATCAGAAGACATATGAGAGGATATGGTTGTGATTAACATTGGTATCCTGTGCTTCATTCTTTCCCTCTTCTAGTCCCATGACTTTAAATAGTTTATTGAAAATAATAATAATAATTACAGCTCTATTTATTGAATATTTACCATACACAAGGAACAGTGAGGTTAGTACTGTTAATATCCCCATTTTGTGAATGAGGAAGCTGATGCCTAGAGAGGTCAAGTTCCTTTCATATGTCACAAAGCTAGTGAGCACTGGTGGAGCTGGGATTTGAACCTGGGGTGTGATTCCAGATTGGGAGCTCTAGTGTCTGTGCCTTGGAACATCCTGAGGTCAGGGAACTGAGTCTGCCTTTTTGTATCTCTCCAGAGAGATATAGATGCTCAGAAACTATTAAATGATAGGAAGTAAGGAAAGGAGAAATGGGGGTGGGGGGGAGAGAAAAGGAGAAAGAAAGAAAAGAAAAATGGTGGTGAGAGGGATAGAGTTATCTTTAGGAATATGTAAAGCTGCCCTCATTCTGATTGATTACCTGGTAAATACCTACTCTTATTTCCAGTCCTAATCTCAGTGGTTCCTCCTCTATGAATCCTTTTCTGACTCAGATGTTAAGTGGCTGCAGCGCTGCACCTAGTTCATGCCTCCGTTGTTGCACTTTTCGTGATTACTGTAAATTTACATACCTGTGTTGACTGAAGAAAAACACAACCTAAGAGTTTCAAGTTAAGTTTTATTCAGGGACCTGACTGAGGACTATAGCTTGGGAGACAGCCTCTCAGATACTCTGAGGATCTGCTCCAAAGAGGTGAGGGAGGAGCCTGGATATATAGTTTTTGTTGAAAAAAAAAAAGAAGCATCAAAAGATCACTGCTAAATACAAAAAAACAGAAATCTCAAATTAATGATTTTAGTGCTTTTCTACATATGGGAAGATGCAAGAGTCTGGGCTCATTGAAATTATTCCTTTGATATGCATCTTAACTTTGTAGGGCCAGTATCCTGTTTTTCTCCATGCTGAATTCCCTAAAGGACACACCCTCAGGGTCAGCTGCAGTGGCTGATGGCTTGATTGTGGGCAACATTCATTGTTTACTGGAATGGCAGGCAACATTCCCTTTCCACACCTCTCTCCCATGCTAGGCTCTGAGCTCTTTGAAGGTAGGGTCTCTCTGGCTGCTGCCTAGTACTTAGTATGGGCACAAAATCTGTAAATCAATGAATGGCCTTTTATGGGGCATGATCACATATTAACAAATAATACCCTTCTATCCTCTTACTACTCAGCACCCGCTTTTTGTATGGTTTGAAGTGAAATTTGGGAAGCCTACAGAGGAGTAATGATGGTCGCCTCCATTTTATATTTGTGCATTCAGAACCCACGAAGTCAGAGAGAATAGGAAGGAAAAATAGGAAGAGGGACGCAAGGCCAAGGAAGCTTCAAAGCTGTATATGCCACAACTTCTACAGGGAGCCTGTTTATTCATTCCACAACTATTAAGCACCTACTGTGTGGTGATGCTGTGCTTGGCAGTCAGATACAGCTGTAAGTAAAACAGTCAAGATTTCTTCTCTCATAAAGCATAAATGCTATGGGGGGAAAGAAATAATAAACAAGTAATTAAACACATACATAAGATTTTTTAAAATAGTAGGTTCTATGAAAGAAATAAAGCAGGGAGGTGGAGCAGAGTGAGCAGGCTGGGTACACTCTAGGATGGGTGATCAGGGAAGCCTCCCCTGTGGAGGTGACCTTTAAGCTGAGACCTGAATAATGAGATGGAGCCAGACCTGAGTATCTGTGGAGAAGAGTGTTTTGTGCAAAGGCAACAGCAAGTGCAAAAACACTGATTAGCAGGTATACTATTTTTATTTTTACTTTTTGGGGCCACGCCACGTGGCTTGCAAGATCTTAGTTCCCTGACCAGGGATTGAAGCCAGACCATGGCATTGAAAGCACCAAGTCCTAACCACTGGAACAACAGGGAATTCCCTGTTTTTAAATACAAGCAATATGATCCCTGATATTCAGACCATTTATAATGTAGCTATGCATCTTATCTAACTAACCTGGTTATCTCTTCTCTCATTAGCCATTCCTCCCTTTAAAAGACCTAGTGCCCTCCCCCACATCCAAAATTCATCCATGTCTCTGATTTTTTTTTCACTCTTCTTTCTTCTGAAATATTCTTTTCTCTCCTTTGTCCTTCAAGGCTTACTTAAAATTCCATCTCCATTAAAAATTATTTTTCACATGGAGCTATTCAGTACCTTGATTGTGGTGGTGGATAGGCAATACTGCATGGGTGATAACATTGTATAGATTTTAATACACACACACACACACACAAATGAGTACAAGTAAAACTGGGGAAATCAGAATCAGATCAGTGGTGTCAATAATCTGATTGTAAAATAGTACTATAATTTTGCAAAATTTAACTACTGGGGGAAATTGGACAGTGTACAGAGGAGCTCTCTGTTTTATTTCTTACAACTGCATGTAAATCTACAATTGTCTCAATTTTTTAAAGTAGATAACCAAAAACATTATATTTTTCCTGGAAATGAGGAAATTTTAAATTCTTTATTAATTAGAAAAATATCGGTTTTCAATTTGCTATGAATCCATGTCCTCCAGTCTACACATTTCTAACTTGCTGATTATAATAAGCAAAAGGCATTGTCTAAATAAAAACATACCAGTCTTTTACCCTATCAAAAAACCATTCCAGCAAGATTCATCTGGAATAATGTCTTCTCAGGGAAAACTTGCTGGCACCTAGTAATGATTTCCTTCCCCCTGTTGATGTCCACATATTGCCCTTCAAGAACTTTGGCCAGGACTGGCTCCTACAGTCTGAAGAATCAACTTTCTTCCCCTTTTCCCAAACTGGAACAGTGTGTACCCATCAACAGTCCTCTGGCACCCCTCCCTGGCTCCATAGTCCCTGGACACCTGCCAACAACCTTCTCATATATAAATTCTATTGGTACCCCAGCTGGAATTGGTCCAAGCTTGGAGACAGCTCATTTAAAGGCAGGCATGCATTCTCTTACAATATCCCATTCATTTCGTGCTTCAGTATCTTCCTACTGATATCTGTATGATGTGTATCCAACATCACAAAAGTTAGAGCAGGTAAGCTGGTGTTCTGAGGTGGGAGCCAGGAGGTGCTGGATGCAAATCCATATCCCGTAATTTTCTAGCAATACGATCTTGGGCTAAGTAATCCAATTCTCTGAGCTTCAGTTTGCCCATTTGTAAAATAGAACTAATAATAGTTGCTATTATTATTAGGTTGTCAGATAACAGTGAAGAATGAATGAGAAAGTATTTGTAAGAATGGATAGCAACAACAAAGCAGATGAGGTGAATATATCTGCTTCCTCATCAATGTGTGAATTTATGTGAATTCATGGGACTTCAGAGCTGGAAGGTTCTGGAGAAGTTGCCCAGACCTTCCTCCCACTCAGTAAGACCAGTATTCATGAAACATTTCAGCATTAAACGGCTGCTTTCCATCACCCATTACCATCACAATTTATGCACTTGAGCAACATATCTGTACCTTCCGTGCTCCATCAAAACCTGGAAAAGCCCTTTTCTCTGGTCCAGGTACTCTAGATTCTCTACCTCGTTAATTCTTACAACAATCCTATAATGCACGCCCACTTATCTCCATTTTACAGCCATGGAAACTGAGGCCTAGAGATGTTAGGTAACTTCTCCAAGGTTACATGGTTAGTAAATGGGATTCAGTCCAGGTCTGTCTGACTCTGAAGCCCTTGCCCTTTTCTGCACTATTACACTGCTTTAGGATAAAAAAAAAAAAAAAAAACACACATTTTTTTTCAAGTCTTGTCCCTTTTTAGGTATATACTTTTGCTATAAACTGGATAATGTCCCCCCAAATTCTTTTGTTGAAGCTTTAACCCACAATATGATAGTATTTAGAGATGGGCCTTTGGGTGGTATTTAGGGTTAGATGAGGTCATGAGGGTGGGGTCCTCACAATAGGATTAGTGCCCTTATAAGAAGAGGCACAGAGATTGGTTCAAGATGGCGGAGTAGAAGGAAGTGCGCTCACTCCCTCTTGCAAGAGCACCAGAATCACAACTAACTGATGAACAATCATTGACAGGAAGACACTGGAACTCACCAAAAAAGATACCCCACATCCAAAGACAAAGGAGAAGCTACCATGAGATGGTAGGAGGGGCAAAATCACAATAAAATCAAATCCCATAACTGCTGGGTGGGTGGCTCACAAACTGGAGAACAATTATACCACAGAAGTCCACCCACTGGAGTGAAGGTTCTGAGCCCCACGTCAGGCTTCCCAACCTGGGGGTCCGGCA